GTATGCTTGTTGATGAATATGTTAAAATGTGTATAAAAATCTGTGCTAGGGTGTAACATTTTTATTGTTTATCTAGACGATAAATGTGTTAATATTAAATGTTTCATTATTTGTCTTTCTTTTAAAACCACAGCGATAAAAACTCTCCTTGCTGCGAAGGCTGTAGATTTGCACCACCAACGAAAGCTTGTCGAGAAACTGAGTACTCTGACACTGGTTGCAAGAAAGCAGCGTTCTGTACTGGACAACATGCGAATTGTCCAAGAGCTGAATTTAAACAGGATGGTTCCCCTTGCATAGAAAAGTAATTGTGTGATGGACATTGATGAACAAGTAGAAATATTGGTTTACTGTTGTGTCTTAAAGATGTATTGTCCATGCAAAATACCAAAAAAATTATAAAAGTCATTTTTGAAATTAACTTGCCCATTTTTAAGTAACATCAACACTATCAACATAGAAATTAGTGTATTTAAAAAATGTTTACCTATAATAAATAAAACTAGAAGTTTTTTATTATTTTTATTATAATTGTCCATTTAAAAGTCAGGTTACATATTTTTTAATTCAATGATTTCTATGCTCAAGTTATTAATTTGTATGTTACTGCAAAATGAGGAAGTTAATTTCTGAATTTTTTGTTATTTTTAAGGGACAATACATCTTAAAAAGAAGTGAGAAAAAGAGAAATGCTTTTTATTGGTGGAGAGGGATTTGAATTCTCTTAAGCACTGCATTGGTCAATACATCGTTCTATTTCCCACTCTTTTTCTCAATCAGGTGTAATTTTTTTTATGAAATTTGTGAAATCAGTATTTTTTATATTTGTATGTTAATCTTCTCCTAAGTCAATTTATTTTGCAATGAATTTGATAATAGAACCAGAAAAGAAAATGAAAAAATATCCCCCCTTATCTTCCCTAAATCTATTCCCCATTCTCTACGACATTTCAAAATTTCAACCATTCTCATCCTCATCTCTCAATTTCTCTACCATCCCTTTCTTTCTTTTATTGCAATTAATAGTAGTAATAAGTTCATAAAACATCTACAATCACTTACGGTAGCAGTTCCTTTTCCTTATCATCGCCCCACAATTGGAACAATATTTCACTAATTATAAAAGAAGCACAATTTGTACACATTTAAGTCACTACTAATTGTTTAATAATTTATCTCCTTTTTTTAACAATGGGGAAGTATGCTCTTTCTTTTGAGGCCACTATCTTGGTCACAGACTCTGAGCACCCGGTCATCTGTGGCAGGGCAAATGTGAAACCTGCTCCTTTGTTAGCGCCACCTAGTTAGAGGACTGAGATCACACCAGGGCAGAGACGGATGGTTGACCCTTTGAGACCTAACGCTGTTTTGCCACCACGCCTTTATTTTTGTTAAGTCATCATGTTTTTTTTATTTTATAATTTGATGTAAAGGGCATAGAGGCACTGCTCAATATGCGCTATATAAATGTAAATTATTTTTATATTATTATTATAATACATTTATAATTATGTTTCCATAGTGGACGATGTATGAATGGAGTATGTATGCCTTTCTGTGAAGTTAATGGTCTGGTGTCCTGTATATGTTCTGATTGTAAGTAAATTCTGTTTTTGGTTGTTTTTTCAGCTTCTATCTACTTGCTTTTTCTGGGAGCATAGGCCTACATCCAAAGATAACATTTACATAACATGTTTGTTGGCAAAAATCTCCCCCCCCCCCCATTTGAATTTATTGAATGAGTCCTCAAACCCAACTAATGTACTGCAGACCCACAGGCGGAATGTTTGCTGCAGACATTTTCAAACATAACTTCTTTTATATCATTATTTAGACCCATAAAACACAAAAATCCTCTGGCTTCAGGGGTTTTGCTGACCCCACCAAGGCCTGGACCCCACATCCAGAGAACCCCGCCACCTGCTTGGAAGAACCTGGCTACGGGCCTGCTGTTGAGACAGAACAGAATATGTTTGATATAATTTAATCTATCATTGTGTGTGTTGTAATCAACAGCTACAGAGTCTTGTTATTGGTGCTGTAAAAGGACTGAAGCTGATGATTGTACTATATATATCAACTCTACATTAAAACAGCCACAGCGTGTTCCTGATGGTAGGCCTTGTAACCATGGAGTTTGTAAAAAGGTATTCTTCATCGTTCTTGTGACTTATTTTAACTGACTTTCATTGGTTTTTGGTCAGCAGTTTGGCGCAGCAGGAACAGTTTGGATTGCCAACCTTGAAATCTGGGTTTTAATCCCTCACTGTGCATTTCGCTTGTGTCCTTGAGGTACTTTATCTACATTGCTTCTCTCCACCCAGGAGTTTAAATGGGTACCCGGGCAGAAAGGGGGCGGGGAGTGGGAGGGTTGCCTGCTCCTGCACTGGTTACCAGCAGCAACACTTAAAACATGTCTGCCCAATGACCAGGGAAAAGAATTATACTTATGGAAAAGGAGCATTATAAATACCAGTACCAGTTTAATTCTAATTATAAATACAGCAGGTGGGGATGAAAGAGTGGCTCATCAAAGCCATTACAGTATGTGAATGTAAAATTATGGATCAAGGGCTTCAGTGATTGATGGGCAAAGCCAATACAAAATTTGAGGTGATCTTTAAAGTTCACGTCACACCAGTAAAGCAGTATCTTATCATATACGCAACATCAAAACCATTTGAAGGTTTTTAACTCATGAAGCAGCCATCAAGATTGTCCATGCCTTAATTACATCTCGGCTGGACTATTGCAATGTTGTACTCCATGGTCTTCCTCAAAGGCATATAAGGAACTGCAACTTCTCTTGAATATGGCTGCACGTCTCGTGTCAGGAGTTTTTAGGTTTGAGCATATAAATAACACCTGCTCTTCATCGCCTGCACTGGTTACCTGTTAAGTAACGCATCTCATTTAGATTGTTGCTTTTCACATATAAATCATTAAATAATAAATCACCCTCATACATATCCAATCTGATTAAACTTCGCTCCACCACTTGTTCTACTAGAGCTCTCAGATCCACATCTAGTTCATCTACATTGTTCGTCCTTCCATGTCGTACAAAAATGTATGGGGAAAGGCCATTCTCCGTTGCTGCTCCCAAGGTGTGGAATAGTTTTCCTATTTTTGTTTGTGAGTCTCCTTCTGTTGAGATCTTTAAGAATCGTCTTAAGACTCATCTTTTTTAGTTTACTTTAATTTGCAAATTTGTAGTGCATAGAGACCTATAATGTATTATGCACTTTACAAATCCCACTTATTATTATTATTATTATTATTATCATCATCATTAAGGGTCAACTCTGAGTTCTTTCCTGTTCATCACAAATAATTTCTATATTTTTGTTTTTCGTATTATGCAAATGATCTAGTGCTCATTAGTGAAAGTTATTATAAAAAATGGTTGTGTTGTTATCTACAATTTACTATATGCTCAATTTGGATGTTGCTTATTTTAGGGAAAATGTGAAACTCAAGCTCAAGATTTTATAGAAAGATTCTTCGATATTTTTGAAGGAATCACAATTAGTAAACTAGGTGAGTCATCAGCGTTGTCAAAAATACATTTGGAAGTGACAGGGCCTTAAAGCCTTCTCCACACTATCAAATTTTATGTATTAACAAAAAACTGTTGTATATGTAGTCATGGTGAACCCATGTCACATGTTTTTGTCAAATACAATTTGATTGTGTGGACAGGGCTTTAAAGATTTGTCCACTTATCAAATTTTATGTGACAAAAAACGTTGTATGACTATATATAGTCATTGTGAACCCATTTCACATGTTTTTGTCAAATACAATTTGATTGTGTGGACAGCAGGGCTTTAAAGATTTGTCCACTTATCAAATTTTATGTGACAAAAAACGTTGTATGACTATATATAGTCATGGTGAACCCATGTCACATGTTTTTGTCAAATACAATTTGATTGTGTGGACAGCAGGGCTTTAAAGATTTGTCCACTTATCAAATTTTATGTGACAAAAAACGTTGTATGACTATATATAGTCATGGTGAACCCGTGTCACAAGTTTTTGTTAAATACAATTTGATTGTGTGGACAGGGCTTTAAAGATTTGTCCACTTATCAAATTTTATGTGACAAAAAACGTTGTATGACTATATATAGTCATGGTGAACCCATGTCACATGTTTTTGTCAAATACAATTTGATTGTGTGGACAGCAGGGCTTTAAAGATTTGTCCACTTATCAAATTTTATGTGACAAAAAACGTTGTATGACTATATATAGTCATTGTGAACCCATGTCACATGTTTTTATCAAATACAATTTGATAGTGTGGACAGGGCTTTAAAGATTTGTCCACTTATCAAATTTTATGTGACAAAAAACGTTGTATGACTATATATAGTCATTGTGAACCCATGTCACATGTTTTTGTCAAATACAATTTGATTGTGTGGACAGCAGGGCTTTAAAGATTTGTTCACTTATCAAATTTTATGTGACAAAAAACGTTGTATGACTATATATAGTCATGGTGAACCCATGTCACATGTTTTTGTCAAATACAATTTGATTGTGTGGACAGCAGGGCTTTAAAGATTTGTCCACTTATCAAATTTTATGTGACAAAAAACGTTGTATGACTATATATAGTCATGGTGAACCCATGTCACATGTTTTTGTCAAATACAATTTGATTGTGTGGACAGGGCTTTAAAACCTTGTCCACTCTATCAAATTTTATTTGACAGAAAACTGTTGTATGACCATATATAGTCATGGTGAATCCATGTCACATGTTTTTGTCAAATACAATTTGATTGTGTGGACAGGGCTTTAAAGATTTGTCCACTTATCAAATTTTATTTGACAGAAAACTGTTGTATGACCATATATAGTCATGGTGAATCCATGTCACATGTTTTTGTCAAATACAATTTGATTGTGTGGACAGGGCTTTAAAGATTTGTCCACTTATCAAATTTTATGTGACAAAAAACTGTTGTATCACTATATATAGTCATGGTGAACCCATTTCACATGTTTTTGTCAAATACAATTTGATAGTGTGGACAGGACTTTAAAGTTTTGTCCACACTAGTGCAGTGTGATGGTGCCATCGCAGATATTTTTCTCAAGTTTGATAGTATGCTTAAAAATATGCTCTGGCTGTGATAGGCACATATTTAGGTGTATCATCATTCCCATATATGGACACAAGTTTGTCACATAAAATTTGATAGACACAGTGCATAAGGTACTTTCAATCCAAAGGTTCTGGCCAGTCTGTGTAATATCCATATGTTTTGTTGTGACTCCACAGGTCGAATAATAAAGGACAACATCGTAGGAGCAACAATTATTATCTCTCTGATCATTTGGATTCCATGTAGCTGCCTTGTTCACTATGTAGTAAGTTGCAATTTTCATTTTGGTCAATGTTTCGCTTATTATATCAGCTTCTCTTTTGTTAAAATACTCTGCTGTTTATAAATACTTTTGTTTGATATTATCTTTCTGTAAACCAATTTCATATGTTGACTGGCTTATTGTTTTAAGTCTTTAAATGTTATTTAGCATATATATGAGTATGTATTATTTATAATCGTATATCTCATCTTTGCAGGATAAAAAACGTGAAAAAGAAATTAGTGAAGATAATGACTGGTTCAATCCAACTGTAAGTTTCAATCCTAACTTATTATATGTAGTACCCATTTACATACTGTAAGGTGTACTTCAATCATACTTCATCACTCTGCATAGAGTGCATCCTTCTATCCAAGACTCCAGTTCCTAGAACCCTTAAGACCACTTTTTCTAAGAACCAAATAACAATCTTCAATCTATTCACTAAGCTAATCCTCTAAGTAGAGACTGAACCCTGATACTGCCCCAAATTTTCAGTCCTCAAAGGTGGTCTTGAATTACTGTAAAGGGCGAACTACAATCTAATTTACTGTCATCAGATAGGCCTACCCATTATATTTTAGACAATATAACACAGTGGTTTATTATGTAAATTGCAGACTCCAAAGTTTGTAGTTCAAATATATAGGTTAAATTGTTCTCTAGTGCACCAAGAATACTGACTAGTCACTCTGGTGGTAGATAACTTAGTCTAGTAGGAACAGGGTGTTCCCAGGCACCTTCATGATATATTTTTTTAACTAATATTTTTGTAATCCTCAAAGTGTCTCATGAACGAATTTCATGTTTCCATTAAAACAAATGTCCCATGGGGTTGGTGGTGGAGCATTCGATCTTGGTTGCTGGACTTTTACCTGGCTTTTACCTCTTGTACCATGAATACCATGAATATTTGTCATAATTTTGTTCAGATTGTCCCTCTTTATCATTTCTGGGAGATTTGCAGTGTTGCAGTTTTAGGGAGGGGGCAGGGAGGGACTTCCACAGATGGAGGGCCTACCACCTTAGCCACACCATGGTTGGAGCTGAGGTAAGAAAATGTATAATTATAGCACTAAAATGGCCGGAAATGATCCTCTCAGACTATAATTATCTTTTCTAACTTCCTGTTGTCATATGGAGTTACACCGCAAACTGTGAGAGGGTAATCCCCTTATGATGTTGTTTAGGCATGTTCCCGGAATAAGGTTATTAAACACTAGGCTTCGAGTCATAAGAAACAAGTGGTTACTTCCAGTAAGGTAGAGCACTTGAGAAAATTTGATGTGGGTCAACATGTTGAAGTTTAAAACAATCGAGCTGGGTTAATTTAAAAGCAAGTAAAGGGATGTGTAATTAAGAGGGTTGGGTCCTCTCACCTATTTGGTGCGTGTTGCGGGATCCCTATGTTATTGTCGTGCCGACCATCTGTTGGCTAGTGCTCCTGTCCCTGATGTACATGATTTGTATACCCCAAGGGAAGTTCATGAGAAGCAGCCCAATGCACATATTATGGTAACACACCATGAGCCTTTGCCAACGCAAAGTTCCACACTCTCCAAAACCCCAAGGGTGGTCGAAAATCCCAGAATGAGTGAACTGGTTGACAAAGGTCAAATAGTCCTACCTGCTGAGAAACCCCTATTGCGGTGATCCTCCCCAATAGTTAAGGCCCAAGACCATTTTAATTTGTAGTTCAATGTTACTTGGGGGAGAGTGTAGTGTACTGTACTCTCACTCAGTCAATTCCCAATGCCAACGTTACTCTGAAAAAATTATATATTTTTTTGTATGATATATAGGTCAAACGTTACACAGATAATAAATTTTCACTGAAAATCCAAAACGGCCGCCAATATGGCCGCCAAATGTATTGCGAAGTTTCTTTGTATTAAGAACATAAAACACTGCTTACTATATACATTTAGAGGTTCACTTGATTTTATATTATTTTTAATTAATAAATTATACATATTAATGATATTCATTGAAAATCCAAGATGGCTGCCAAATGTATTGAGAACATAAAACACTGCTTACTATATACATTTAGAGGTTCAGTTGATTTTATATTCTTTTTAGTTAATAAATTATACAAATTAATGATATTCATTGAAAATCCAAGATGGCTGCTAATATGGCAGCCAATACCAGTATGGTTGCTAAATGTATTGCAAAGTCTATAATTTTTATTGAGAACATAAAACACTGCTTACTCTATACTTTTAGAGGTTCGTTTGATTTTATGTGATTTTTAGTTAGTTGAAAACCCAAGACTTGACGACCAAAATGCCTACCAAACAACCCCATGGGACATTTTTTTCAATGGGAACATCAAAATTCGTTCATGAGACACTTTGAGGATTAATGTTAGTTAAAAAAAATGGGGGTGCAGGGGAACCCCTTCTCTCTACCAGACTAATTGTGAATAAATAAACAACTAGACTTTTAAAATATAATTTAAATAATCAATCGATCAATAATAACCATCAAAATCAGTAAATCATAATATATTATCTGAGTGGTTTTCATTAATTTTAAAACCTCATTGCATTTATGTATATAGGCCAGACTATTTCTATACCTTGTTACCTTACCTTCCCATTTTTTGTATTTCCTCAAAACGTGGTCAAGAATTTTTTTTTTTTTTGCCTAATCGATCATCAGATCAGTAATGTGGGTTTTTCCACTAGTTTAAAATGGTTTCTATAGTTACATGGAATTTCCAAATTATTTTGAACTACTGTATGCCATATGGTTGCCCATGTAGAGTCCATACTTTTTATAACTTAACATAAAGTCAAATGAAAATAATCTCTTTGTTCTTATTGTTATTCTCATATTATGTAAATACCCAGCTAAGAGGCCAAGGACAAAATTCCTTTAAAATGACTGACACTGGAATGCTTTTTTGTTTTGGCCAATGTTTGTTTTGATTAAATTTCTTTAGTGGTAGTTGTTATTTCAGTTTAATTTGTTACCTTTCATGTTATTGTTAATTATGGTTCAATGCATTATATATTTGTGGGCCTCTGCGGCCGTCCCGAAGCAAAACAATATAGCAATTTTGAGATTCGTATTTGGGAGTATGTTAAACACTCCGGGAATATCTTGTGAAAATTCCAGCTCTCAATAATAAGTCGTTTCAGAGGTAGCACCACTTATCTTTAAGATAATAACTTTAAATGTCAGAAGGGTACAAAATTTTGTTTGTTAAGTTGCAAACATGCAAACTTCACCTATTTTTCACGAAAAGTTAAAATTTCAAATTACGTTGTTTTGCCTCAGAATAACCGCACAAAATTGTTTTTTTTTTTTTTGTTGTTATTGCTGGGGGAATATAAATGTGGCATGCCATCCCTAAACCAGCATACACAGCTGAAAATCCATATTCTCTACATTTTAAACTTTGAAACTGGATAATTTTACTAGAATCAACTACAGTACTAACTACAAGTGGGATGGGATGCCTCAAATATTGCCTCATTTTCATTAATTCTCATCAAAATGTGTTAATGTTTCTTTGACGTGATGACAACTTTCTTCAACAGAATAAAGAACTGATGAGGCCAGGTGACAAGGGTAAAGTTCGAAGGTATCGACCCCCACCCTATCTAGAGAAGGAGACTGTTCTCTAGCTAACTGCATGCGTTAATGTGGCCAACGGTATGTCTAGTACACACTCTAAACCCTGATGTAATTTGACCAACTCCCAAATTTCATTAGTATATATTTTTGTACTTTTATATTGGATACCATGCTATTGATACATATCTTGCCCAATAGTGTTTTTCATGTGGGCCACAATTTTTGATGCAAAATATTTTATGCAATTTTTCCAACTATTGGGTGTTTAATAAGCAACAAATTTCGAAGGATTCCAAGGTATTTATATGCATGTGCATCTATACATTGAGTCCTGTGCAATTATTATGTACATTGCTACTGTATATGTGTGTTGGCTAGACATACCATTGCTTGATGTGAGTCTGGTGCATGTACCAAGCAACCTCTTCAGATTGAGTGTGTTTAGATTCGTGTGCCCCTTGTGTTTTTACTTGCCAGATACTGTTGTGATATGACATGTTGCATGCTCAAAAAGTCACGAAAAATAACCAGCACAATATTATGTATTTTGTTAGCAAATGCAGATAAACCATGATACCACAGTTTTTACACTTTTTGATGATGACATAATTAATGTTAAATATTGAATCCCAACACGATGGCGTGCATTTCGATACTTGGAGTATGTATTATACTATCTTATCTCAGATTAATCAGTGGACCTTTCGGTTTTACACTTTGGTGTATGTATAATAAATAGAGTAAAGTAGAATAGAATATGAAATAGAGTAAAAAAAATTAAATATATGTGTGTTGGCTAGTAATTTTCAAAAAAGTATTTTGTAGATGAGCATATGATATCAAGTTTTGTAATATAAAAGAAATATAAAAGATTGTATTTTGTGGTATGATGTTCTGGATGTGTACCTGGGTGTGATATGAGTTTGTGGGTGCGAAATGTGTAGTATATTTTTGTGGGTGTTTGCTTTAGTTAATGTGATTTAGGTTTGCTAAATTATGTTTGACTGTGCAATTGTTTGCTGTTTTTTTATTCTTGTTTCTGTCATTTTTGTTGGGAAACTCTACGAAAAAAAGCCTCAGAGCTTATAGAGCTATCCTCTGCATTTCTTTCTCTTTATTCTGTTCACTGAATCATGTTATTGTTGCCATTTTTTTTATATTATATGTTGATATTGGAGTGCAATAAATATTAAAAAAACAAACAAACCATAATCTTAATGGTTTGGAGTAGGCTTTCTGGAATAGGCATATTAAAACCTAATAATTTACCATCAAAATGTACTAAAAATAGAAAAGTTCGCACTATATTAGTTATCAAACGCACATTTTAATCATCAATTAAAATTTACAAAGAAAAACTAAGATAAAACATCTTAATAATTATGTTAGAAATTCGGATCAATGGTTTGTCAGTGGAGAAAATGGCGTCCGGTTGAATGCATTGAGTAGAGTTGAATAGCTTAGTGTTTAAGATGCTGGCCTTCTAACCCCAGGGTCCTGGGTTTAATTCATGTGACAGCAGGACTTTTTCTCACGACAGAAACAACTCCACTCCCTCAGCCTCAAAATGAGACTTCACTGATGAAAGCATCACGTTCATTTATTTTAAGGGGCCCCTGAATATTAGCCGTCATTCTAGGATATGCTAGAAGAGTTACCCTCTATAAAAATATATTTTTAAAAAAAAGGGAAAGCAACTTTTTACCTACTTTTAGAATTACCCACTCATACAGTACTCTATACAATGATTGTAGATTTTATTTATTTATTCACATATATATTTTTTTTAAGCGGTTTGGCGCAGGAAATTGATTGGTTCCCCAAGATTGGGATTTCAATCCTTCTCTGCATTTTGCTTGTGTCCTTGAGCAAGGCATTTTGTCTACTTTTCTGCAGTTTTCTGAGCTATATCATTTGGTACCAACAAATTGCTGGGAGTAAGCTGTGGTGGACTAGCGTCACACTCTCATCCGCTTCCCACTGGCGATAGCCCCAGTTCAGTGAGCCCCATGGCTCAGCAGGATTCATTTTACATGTTTTTAGAATATGAGAACATGAGGTTAATTTGTAGTTGTAACTGCTTTCTGCTAACAATACATAAAATCTACTGAGGTTGTCTTGGTGCGTGTATCAGAGCTAATTAATTATTTAATTTAATTTTTTAAATTTTTAATGCATCCAAATACTGTAACAAATTAAGAATAATGATTACTAGATGGTTTTTGTATGAGCATTGGTGGACCCTGGATTTCAGAAAGCAGGCAGAGCACATGGTAGGCATTTTTGTCCACTTTCTGAATTTTTTTTTTTTTTTTTTTTTATTGGCTATTTAAAATTTTGTAGGTGTAAGGATCATGAAATTTGGGAACAGTGGGAAAGAGCTGTTCCCTTTTGCCATGCCTTGGATCCATGCCTGTTCCCTGTTAATCATCTATTATAAAATCCTCTTCCTGCTGACGTATGATACTGTATTCTATTTTGTATTTCTGGCACTAAAAACCCTTGAACCAAAATACGTAAAACCACAAATTATCTCATTGGCTCTTCCGTTGAAGCCCCAATCTGGTTCTCTACTTAATGACTCGGGGCCACATGTTGGATTGCATTTTAGCGTGAAATATACTGTGGCTACTACCATGTGTATATGCTTTTGTATAATATTGTGAAAGCTATTTATATGTATATATTGTTTATAATATAGTTGAAACTATATATTTATAATTTTATTTTTTAATTTGCTTGTCAACGAGTCCTGAAATTGAAGAGTGAATTAGGTATAGTTTTATAATCTAAAGTAAAATCAGATCTACTGAATCTTATAATATCCAACTTGTTAAACATATGGATAATTAGTTTTGTAGATATGCTGAACATTTTGTAATATGTTAATAACATTTATAAATCTGTCAGTATTCGAATTATGTGATTACATTTGTTTTTAACATTAAACTGGTCATGATGTAATAAACACATGCACAATTCTTTCCTTGTTCTTAGTGGGAAAGTCCCGCTGGATGGTAAATACAATAATTGGCAATCAAGGTATTTAATCGATCATTTATGCATCATTTTAGAAAAAGCAATTAAAAATTCCCTATTTCACTTAAACTAATTTAAAACCAACTATACATTCCCCATACTGTATCACTGGTATAAAAACCACATAGAAACTACAACTGTTTTGAATTGATTAATTCGTAGGATCATGAATTGTCCATGATAAAATCTTTAAAACCAAAAATAAAGCCAAAATTAAAACCAAATAAAAATTGAAACCAAATGTTTTATTTCCCTTCCCTACCAGAGCAAAGGGAACTAACACTATTTTTTGTGAAAGAAAAATTCCATTAGAATGGCCGGAAATAGAACAATTTTAGTTTATTCATTAACGAAATTTGGTATTGCATCATTTCTTTAAAATTGAACTGATGCAATTCCAAATTTGTTAATGAATAAACCAAAATTGTTTTTATTTCCAGCCATTAGAATTAACTTTTGAACTGACAATAAAAATGACAACAAAACAGCAACAAAAGATCACCAAAAGAAAAATGTTATATTGACACTTGGCCAACTCTGAAGGTAACTATGACTAAGTGATTTCAGGGGCATAGAAAAGCCTAATTGCCTTATGATTGAGCTATAGTGTAGTAGCTTGGTGGTTTACTTCCAAACACGATTTTTCTTGTTGAGTCTAATGATCCTACAATTATTAGTTCTATTCGGTTAATGTTTTTATGATTTTTGTATATATTCGATGCTTATTCATTTTCAAGCAAGAACATATTCTTGTGTATAGAACATTACTGCTATTTCAAACTCCATTTTCTTCAAGTTTAGTAGCCTTAACACAAACAATCGCTTTCAATGAAGTGTATGCTGATAAAGTTGTACATGTATTAAAATCAAATGAGCCTTGCCTATATTTTTTTCCGTACGTTATTATTTGAGTTTCAATTATTATGTTAATCTTTAAGTAAAATATTATCTTGGCACAACAGTTTACAAGAATCTTGTGAACACAGTGTGGACAAGAAAATACTGTACTGTATTTTGACTGTATACTCAATTCACTGTATAAAATATTTTATGTCAGATATTCTTGCATGCTATTCTTATATGGGTGCGCATTCACATGTAAGTAATGTAGCAGTAGACGCGTGCTAATTGTTTTTTTAATAGAGGGTGCATGAAACATTTTCTCCCATGTTCCCGTGTGAATCGTGTATTAGAAAACTCTTCTCTTCATTCATACTTCTCAAATTTGCTGCGATGGAGTGCAAGCCTCATTTATGCAAACACATCTACTGGACATTATAACGTGTACATGAAAACTCTTCTCTTCATCCATACCTCTCAAATTTGCTGTGATGAAGTGCATAGCCTCATTTTTGCGAACACGCCCACTGGACATTATAGCAAGTACATGGCTAATGTACACATCCTGTTACGCCACTTCATTGAATATAATATGTAATTTATTAGGCATATGTTTATTTCAAGTTCATATTCATAACTTTTACTGGATTCTTGCTTACACCAAGCTGCACTTAAACTTAGACTTTCTTCCTTGCATGTCTGCTTTTTTGTATTTTGAATATCTATTATTATATTTCTCTCTTATACCATTGGACGAGTGCGATTACCTTTTTGTTGATTGAAAGTGGGAAATTGTAATCTCCTAGGCACATTATAATGTTGTTCCTGTCTTATATATCTATAAAAACACGACAACACAAGATGTCAAATTGTATATTTTATTTGGTGTTACTGGAAATGATTTTATATCGAACGTTTGTAATAATATATTAGCATAGTGATAACCTTACGATGTGCCTTGGCGATGGACTGAGACCAGTAATATTTAAGAAGTAAATAAATGGGAAAAGCGCAATGGCCGTCAACTTTGTCCACGTCCACTTTTACAAATTTGATAAGTGTTTAAAACCGCATTTCTAGTAACAATGATAGTGCATTTTTCATTTTGCATGATCCTTCTTAACCAATCAAAATCACGTTTGCGATTTCTAATGGATTGCAGTTAATAACTGTTACCACCAGACGTGTGACATCACTGCTTGTTTGAACTATCAGTAACTATTTTTTGTTTGTTTATGCTGTTTCGTCTATTATGTAAGCAAAAATTATTCTACATTCTAGTAGTTTTTGATACAATTTATTTTTCTTCAACATTGTCAGCTCAATCTTTTTTGAAGAGTCATAAACACCAATGTTTTGGCGTTTTATATTATTTTATAATAATATTTAGGAATATTGTTAATACTGGAGGCCTATTAATTTAATAATTATAATTTTTGATAGATTTTCGCTGCTATCAAAAGCGTTTCAAAACCCTTGTCCCAATGCTTTTACTATTATTATTACTATTGTTGTTGTTGTTGTTGCTGCTGTTGTTGTTGACATTGTGTTATTTTTTTTGTGTTATTTTTTTATTGTTATTAAGCCTATATGTTTTTATTGCTATGTATATTTTCTAACCCAGATGTTTCACATAGATATCAATTTCAATTTAGGCCTACTATTAAAAGTCGCCGAAACTGAAAATCGACACGAGAGTTCAGGCGGCTATAATAGTCGCTTTCACAACTACGGTAGTAATACGTTGATGAAAGAAAAACAAATGAGGAAACATTAGCAAATGAACTTAAAATCGGACAATAGAACATTAATGTTGCTATTTTTACCAGATTCCAGATAAACGACATCTAATGGGGATAATTACTGTTAATTTAAGTAATATTTATTCGGGAGATTTACTATATATATATATATGAGCTGATAATCGGTAGAGAGATGGAAATTGCTTTCGCCCAAAAATGTATGTTTAGTTTGCTATTTTATGCAATGTACCCTCCAATTTGAGACCCTCTTGTTCTGAGACCCCTTTAATTCGAGACCATTTTCAAAAATCAAATAGAAATCTTTAATATCTTAGCACGAAGAACCCTCTACTTGGTGACCAAACCCCGAGACCACCATAAATTTTTATGCCTAAAGGGTGGTTCCGAATTAAAGGGGCGAACTGTAATTACGTTAGTATTGTTGGCCTATACTGTACACATTGTATTGATAATTTCAAATTATGACCGTCTGTCAGCAAAATGTCGTTGATTACAGCAATGTATTATGGCTATGTAGCTCCGTACCCTTATGGCTAGGCCTACGTGAAATAAAAATAATTGGTTTCTTCTAGGTCACAAGTGATTGCTCAAGAAGCTGAACAAGACTCGAATCTGTAAGTTGGATGGCGTCTTCAACAATCGCAACCTATCCTGCATGTATTACAATATTGCAGTTCCAATATGTAATCGTCTGGCGAATGAAATTATAAAGAACATCATTTTCACCTTAATTATTTCATTCTTCATTCATCTTACATATCATACCAGTGGTGTAACGTTGAGTCGGGGCCTGGGGGGAAGAAAACGTGTTGGGACCCATGAATTTCTGTAAAGTGTTCGCTAACATAAACATGAATATTGAGCCTGAAAAGAATATCTTTAAAGAATACAATTATATTGTATGACTATAAACCATAGAATCAACTACCGTACTTTCAATTTCCATTTAGACTGGGGACCCTGGGGCTTCGCATCCCAACCACACACCCCCCCCCCAGCCCATAGTCGTTACGCCACGGCATCATTCGTTGTTCATTGCATGACCACCATTCAGGGGCGAATCAAGAATTCTAAAACATGTGGATCAGATGAATGTCCACATGTTCAGAATTTGCGACTATATCTACAGTTCTTTCCAGAGTGTCACTCAAAATGTCCAATTGATCAATCAAAACGTGGTATTCAATAATCAGGAATACGCGCATGTCCCACATTAAACGCACGTTTACGCTGTCGATTTGTGATACCTTAGCAACAGGGGCGGGCTAAGTGGAACGCTCCATTTTGGGGCTTTCTAGAAACAACTTCTTGATCCGCTACTGGTTATTATTATTGACGTCGGTATTCTTCATCCTACTAGGAGAAATGAATGATAAACAGTAGGATTAATATACGGCGGCTTGTAATTAAAAACATTTTATATAATTCTAATGGAATGAAATGCTGCTATATTAATTAGATTGCATGTCTCATATTTAAAACTTTATTAGTAAATTATTATTTTTACAGTTTTAAGATATAAAAATTGTCACCGTACCCAGTCGAGTATTGCTTGTTTGTTTTGAAGTGTATTGAATCTATTGTTTATTTAATATGAGTCTATAGTATTTGATAATAGTTAAAGGGTATAGCAAAAATAATTATAATAAAAGCTCATGTGTTGGTGTTCAAATAAAAACTAAGTTAAAGAAAATAAAAATAGCACAAAATTTACTCTCTAAATATATTTATAAATGTCTTGTTCAATCAGTCAATTACCATCAGGGCAGTTTTTCCGAATTCCAATCAATCAACAATCAATCATTTAACATCTATAGAAGTACCGACAAGTACATGCAAGCCTTTGTTACCGGTACTTATTGTGATAACAAGAACAACGTCCTGTCATTATTTCTAAGAGGATAATCACCACCAAATTGAATGCAAATGATTTTTAAGTCAAACTGTCTAAATAGTCTTGCTTTCGTAGACATGGGAGACTTTTACATACTATCATAATTTACATATTTAAATATTTTTTCTTTATCTATTGAAGATAAGATGTTCTTAAATTAATGATTGTATAAATTTAAAAAATCTAGATATCGTAAATAAAAAATTATATATATATTGCATTATTGATGTAGGCCTGTAAAAAGGATTGGAAGAAACTTATGAATATAGCAAATCAGTGGCGGATTGCAATACTAAATTATTCATTTTTCATTTCATTATTTGGTCCAATATATAAAAATTTCGAGACCAGGGCCAACTAAGTGAACTGAATCACTGTAGCAGTGCTGGTTGGCCCATCCCTCCTAATCACAGATACAAGAATACAATTAAAAAAAATTTATAATCCGAAAAGTCTGAGTGTGCCATTTCCGGCCATCTAGAGATGTCATAATCATATTTTCTTACCTCATCCCTAACCATGGTTGGGCTGAGGTGGTCTACATTCCCCATCTGTGAAAGTCTGGCTGGCCATGGACCCCCTCTATTTCGATTTTCTGAGTCCGCCACTGCAAATAAAACTTCATTAATTGAAAAACTGGTAGTATAGAGAAATTTAGTTCGAAGAAAACAGCTCGAAAATGCAGTGATATGTTCCATGTATTCAACACAAAGGGATTCATTTCTTAATTGACGTAATACGTTTCATCAACCAAAATGCCAAACCAAAATGATTTTTTTTAAATCACAATAATCGTTTGAAATATTGTATATTTTTAAATTATTTTTATCCTTGTGAATTTTTCAAAAATTTTATTATACAACCATTTAATATTTTTAAATGTGTGCACACGGGTTTAAAAAGTTAAATCAAAGGGGGAAACATTTTTCTTATAAAAAGGGAGGAAAAAGAAGCTACTCGTAGTTAGTTTTGTTTACAGTCATTTTGGGTGTCCGGG